TATGGGATCGGGGCTGTCTTAAGTCACCTCAAGGCTGATGGAACTCAAGTTCCTGTAGCATACTATTCAAGGACTCTGTCTTCTGCTGAGTGTAACTACGCACAGATAGACAGAGAAGCCTTGGCCATAGTGGCTGGCATAAAAAAGTTCCATGACTTTTTGTATGGCCACCATTTCACGGTCTTTACAGACCATAAGCCATTGCTGGGGTTGTTCACAATGAACAAGCAATTTCTCCTAGAATGCTGAGGTGGTCAATTTTCCTTTCTGCATATGACTACTCCCTGGTTCACAAACCAGGCAAAGAAATGGGCCATGCAAATGGCCTTAGTAGGTTGCCTCTACAGCTTGTAGAATCTGATTCTGCTCCAGCTAACCACATCCTGGCTATCCAGGATTTGCCTGAGTCTCCCATCAATGCAGGGGGTGTGGCTGCAGAAACAGCCACACACTGATCACACGCTAACACGCGTGTTGACATGGGTGCTGTAAGGATGGCCTGACACGTGTCCTGGCACCAATTTCCAGAGTTTCTGGAAAAGGAAGCATGAGCTTTCCACCTTTAAGGGTTGTGTCCTGTGGGGTAGCAGGGTAGTGATCCCAATCCAATTGAGGACTAGAGTCTTGCAGTCTCTGCATGAGGGACATCCGGGAATAGTCCGGATGAAGGCGCTTGCGCGCAGTTATCTTTGGTGGCCTGGGCTTGATAAGGAGATTGAGGCCTAGGTCCAAGGGTGCCACATTTGCCAACAGTCCAGGCCTGAAATGCCACAGGCTCCTGTACATAGGTGGGAGGACACACATGCTCCTTGGTCGAGGGTTCATATCGACTACGCTGGCCCCTTTCATGGGCAATTCTTCCTCATTGTTGTGGACAGTCACTCTAAATGGCTAGAGGTCGTTCCAGTGTCCACCACGACTACTGCCAGGACCATCCAGGTGCTGAGAGGGATCTTCGCCTCTCATGGGCTGCCAGATGTCCTTGTCTCCGACAACGGACCACAATTCACCTCTTCGGAGTTCCAGACTTTCCTGCAAGCCAACATGATTCATCATGCTACTTCGGTACCCTTTCATCCGGCTTCTAACAGCCAAGCTGAGCGCATGATGCGCACAACCAAAGACACCTTGAAGAGGCTCAATTATGGGAGCTGGCACCACAGGTTAGCTGATTTTCTCCTTTGCCACCGCATCACACCTTGCACAGCTACAGGCAAAAGCCCAGCTGAACTCCGCTGGGGTCGCCGGCTAATTACCAAACTGTACAGGTTACACCCAGACCGGGTGGCTTCACAGGTATCACAGCCGTGGGCACCGAGGAGACTACAGGTGGGCGATCCGGTTTGGGCAAGGAACTATGGACCTGGACATCTCTGGGTGACAGCAGTGGTCTGCAAGGTCACTGGGCCACTGTCATACGAAGTGGCCTTGGAAGATGGTCACGTGCTGTGTCGGCATATTGACCAGCTGCGATGGAGACTACCTAGTCACCCTTCTGCTCCTGACTCTGCTCTCGGGGGGGGGGAAGAAAGAGGACCACGATCACGATCGTGGATCTCAGTCTCTCTGCAGAAGCGGGGGTTTGCATTCTTCAAATAGGGGTTTTGCCAACGAGGCGGGTCCTGACTCTGGCACTGGGTCCATGGGACATTGCACGCAACCGGCTTTTCATGCCACATCTACTGCAGGCCTTGTGCCTACAAGACAGTGCTCCCAACAGGGGTCTTTTGCAGACCTGCGGAGTTCTACCCCACCAAGGAACTCTGGTCTGGGCTTGCCAGAAATAGCCAGCCGAAGTCAGTGGGACAAAGGGTTGGGTTTACCGGACCAGGCCAGTCAGCAAGATGCGGGTTCACCTGTATCTACTGGGCCTCAAAGTCCCGGTCTGATGAGCCTGGCAGGCGAGCTTGCAGACCGGGCACTTGCAGCAGCTCCGAGATGCTCGGAGCGGGTCAGAGGCCCTCCAAAGTTTTTACAGGATTATGTAAGATTACTGTCTGTAAGCGGGCGGGCCTAGTATTTCTCTAGAAATAAGAACACTCTCGAAAGGGTAACTTTGGAGTAGTTAACAAAATAGTTGTGTATGTTTTTTTGAACTAAGAGGGGAGGGGTGTTATGTCCTAGGCCTGTGATTGACAGAGCAGGTGCAGGAAGCTATAGAGAGTCCCGGGCGGACCACGTGGCTGCCCGGGCCAGACAGGCTGTCTCCAGCCTATTGCACACGCGCAAAGTGGGAGAATACGTTGCATTTATTGGCTGACGCTGTCCCTGCAAAAGGGTATAAAAGGGATCCGCGCCATTTTGTGTTGGTTCTGTTGAAGCTTTAATAAAGAAGCAACTGTTGTTACTACTGCCTCGTCTCAATGCCTTACCAATGCACAGAACAGAACAGTCATGCTGGCCCTATGACCATGGCAAATGTCTTCAGACAATGCTGGCTTTCACAGCCAGGAAAACGGAGGTGACAACTGAGCCCAAACAGTGGTGGCATTCAAATAGGTGAACAACCGGTTCTCTGTGTGGATGCCGCTTCTGGAAGTCCATCCTGGGCCTGGGCAACAAAAAATTAGCTACCGGTTCTGTCAAACTGGTGCGAACTGGCTGAATTCCACCACTGGCCCTAGAGCCGGACACGACTGGATAGGGAAACCTTTATATTTGGTAGTTTCTGACACATCAAAGGTGATTGGAGGGCTCTGCTTTCTTAATCAAATCAGCTAGACAAGAAGAGAGACAAAGTTATTTTTTCTTCTATTTTGGGTGTTAGGCCCTTTTAAGAAAAAACAAAACGTTCTCCACAGTTACACTTTATTAAGATGGATTGTCAAGCAAGGGATTTTAGCCATCGTGTACATACAAAAATAATCACATCATACAAGCTGCTTTTCCACATGGAAAAGAAAAGGGGAAGTACATTGGCGTGCACTTATAAAGATGATTCATAGAAAACTAAGCTCTCCTTGTTTGCATTTCTGGATTCCTACCCACTTGCAAATGTTCAAATGAAATACTCTGAAAGCTTTGCAATAAATAATGTTCTGACCAGCGTTCCATTCCTCCTCTAACAACAAATACCACTCATCTTGGCAGGGATTGGGGAATATATATATATTCGATGGGCACTGAAATAATAAAAATCAGTAGGATGAGGAAGGATATGCATGGTGGGTTTTGCCATTAGCAACTGCATCTGTGGTTTCAGATATCTATCACAACGCCCCATGCAAACAGTGTCACAATGGGAGAATTACTGTCAGTCACCTATAGGATATCTACTAATAGGTTTACTTGTGAAAGCAACAGTTAATCACGTATAGTTTTAAACAGCAGATCCACTGTTGAATGAGGCTTCTTTAGCACAAGGGTGTGCATAGAGTTACACGTAATGCCTTACATCAGCCACATACCAATGCACAATTCTTCACATTTAATTTTTATAGTCAGCTTTCCTTTGGGGGAATGTAAATGGTCCACACCTCTGTGTTAGACAGGCCTGTACTTTGGCTTCAGCAGCATTTCCTGAAACAGTTTGTAAAGTTATAGTACACTGCCAACTGAATCATTTGGCCTGGTCTTTGAACAAGAATTCTCGAGTTTGCAAGCTGACCTGATTTTAATAGAACGTACAGTTTGTTAGTGAAATATTTCTTACACAGGAGGCATGGGAGACATAGCTGTTTGGTAGTGCTTCTGCAAAACCAGGTAACCCTTTTCTCTAGTGGACATTCCAGCAGTACTTCAAGTCAGGAAAACCTCATCTCTGGAGAATCCCAATATGCTGTTTAGTCATATTTCTTCCAAAGAACTGTTCCCACATTTTGTGTTTCTGTCAGCCTGCCTTCAAAATAACTTAACTGCACACATTGCCTTTAGAACAGCGGTTCTCAATCTATGGGTCGCGACCCCATTTGGGGTCGATCAACCATTTCACGGGGGTCGCCAAGCAAGGCTGTCCGCCATTTTTTTTCCCTTTTCCGGTGGGTGCCTTACCTCCCTTGAGCTGGGCCAGCTGGTGGTCGGCCTGCTCCCTCTCTGCCGCTTGCCAGCTATGCCTTGGCCGGCGCAGGGGGAAGAACCACGCATGCGCGGCGCTCCCGGGCAGGGAAAGTCCTCGACTTACGACCGGTTGGGTAGTCCTCGACTTACGACCGGGTTAGTCCTCGACTTACGACCGGTCGGGGGTCGCGACATTAAAAAGGTTGAGAACCACTGCTTTAGAATCAAGTAAATAATAAAAGGAAAACTTAGGAAGGGAAAGTTGTTTTACAGAAAACTATTTCAAAATAATCCTTTCTTTCTTATATCTGCTCTACAGCTCAGATCTATTGTGAAGACTCTGTAGCTCACTATGATAATCTTCGGGCTTTTATCTCTTGGATAATAAATTAATAAAATACCACAAACAGTATGGTTTAAAATAGTTCTTGATGACATGCTTTTTTCCTTTTACCAACTTAATGCTGCTGCATTTTTCTTTGTCTTTGTCTTTTCCTCTTTTTTTGATCTGGTTGGTCTCTTTCCTCTTTTTTTTTGGTGGTCTGATTAAAAGATGGCACCTGTATTCAAAGGAGTCACTTTGGGTACTGCTTAATAATAGAAATATATGCCATTTCAACATTGTTAAGGCTAAGGGCACAAAAGATGGTAAAAGTTAGGATCTAAATATGGATGGGAAAGGCAGTTACTCAGTGGTGCAATTCATTCTTTTAATACTGCTGCTGAAGAATCTCTGACCAATGGAGTGGGCAACTATTCTGCATGAAGATAAATGTGCTTGGGAGGTAGGATTAGAATTGGAGTATCGGGTATGTTGGATTAGGTGTTCTTAACTGAGTTTTTATTGGCCGTATTGAGTTGGTTTTAGCGTTGTGCAGACACTTTCTTCTTTTGTTTCATCGTTCCTTTGACATTCCTTGAAATTCCACCTGGGCTGAATTCTTCCCGTATGTTTTGAATTGATCACGTTGATCATTCCTCTCCTTTTTTTTTTCTTCCTTCAGGTGAACGACCTTTTCCTTGTACATGGCCAGAGTGCCTTAAAAAGTTCTCTCGCTCCGATGAGCTAACAAGGCACTACCGAACCCACACTGGGGAGAAGCAGTTTCGATGCCCACTTTGTGAGAAGCGGTTCATGCGGAGCGACCATCTCACCAAGCATGCCCGTCGCCATACTGAATTCCACCCTAGCATGATCAAGCGATCTAAAAAGACCAGCTCTGCCTCCTTTTGAAGGAAAGACTACAACAGGGGTGAGGGTGGGGAGATGGCCATCAGTGAAAAAGGCAGAATGGATCAGCACAAATATGTCCACCACTGTACAGTAAGATCCCCCCCCCCAACTTGCATTTTTAAAGCACATGTAGCTGGAAATTTAAAGATTAACATTTTTGTTCTGTCCACCCTGCTGTGCTACCAACCACAGTCTTAAACCAGGGGCTGCTGGGTGGGCGTGGGGGGTTGGGTGGGGGGACTGTATGGGGATGAGCAGAAATAATGCAACTTTTTATAGTTTAAAGAATCAACACTGGTGTGTGGGTGCATGTGTGTGAACACAGACACACACACACACATCTGTATATAGTTATATGTGACTGGGTGATTTGACCTGTGACACCACAGTAGTGATTCCAAGCTCTTTGTGATTGCTGTGTCATGGAGATGTTTTGTTGACTAATGTAATGCTGCTTGTATTTTAAAACAAAACAAAACAAAAAAATCCAGTTTAGTGAAACCACTTTCCAACTCACTTAAGTATTTTTCAAGTAAAGCAAAACAAAAACATCGTAGCACATGATAGATGGAATTTCACGTTTCTTTCTCAGTGGTCCACCCTGTACAAGACTGTTAAGGGAAAAAAAAATCATCATTCACAGTACCAGATTGGTGGAAGGAAACTGTAATTTTTACCAAGTTATCCTTTTTGAGCTGCTCTTTTTCCCCCCCAGTGGAAACATGCACAGAAACCAATTATGAAACCAAAAGGAAAACAAGAAATCAGCTGGCATCACACACAAGAGGCTATTCTTTGCCGTGTAGAAAAGAAACAATGCAACCTAAATCGTGCAAAGAAATGTGGCAGAAATACGAGACTATTTTTTTTCTCCTTTAGCTGTTCCTAGACTTTCATCTGAAAAGCAACCATATACTGTACTGTACTATATGAATACCACTACCAGTGCTTTATTCTGCTGGGTTTTGTTGGAATGAATGCATAACAGCAGCTACCATCTTGATAAGCTACCACTTTTATAAAAAGTTTTTTTTCTCCCTCTTACGACTCTTTCTCTCTTTTCTCAATGGTGCATTTTCTTCCCCTCTCGCCAGAATTCTGTCTCAGCTAACAGAACTATGCGCATTTGGAGTTGGTAGAGAACCTTTTCTTGTTTTATTTTCTCCAACAGAACATTCTCTACGTGGACGAAGGCAACTAACACTAATTTTTTTAAACTACTTTTTAACAAGTCTTCTTTTTCATAAATTGCAGCTGTTGTACAGAGTCTGGGGAATAACAACCAAACTAACTGCAAGTAGGAATTCAGACTCAGATGCAGGAGGCGTGTCAAAATGCTTTTCACGACACGGCCTCACCACTACATACCTTGCAATCTCAATCCTCCGTATCAGGCTTGATACAGTTTAATGATAATGGCAATATTTCATCTGTTTCAAATGCTACAGTTTGCTCTTCGGAACAGAGGCACCATCCACATTGGAGAAAAGCTCTTGCATCTAGCCAAGCTGTGTCATCTTTGTTAATGTTGAAAGCATGAACCTGATGAAGGTTGTAAATCCATGGACGTTCCCTCCCCCATCTCTCGTGATGATGGAGAATCATGTTTACAGACTTCCCTCCTGCCCCCTCTGTCCTTGACTCTTCTTTCTCATGATGGAAGGCGTGGTGCAACTGTCCTATGTAGGGCTAACTTTGTGGGTGAGGAAATCACACGATAGCCAGAGGGATTACACCAGGATCAGTTTGCCCAACTTTGTAAAGAATCTGTACATACGACCTTGTAAAGTATACCTGCTATGACAGTATCTTGTTCTTGTTTCATCCGATAGAAAGCTAGCTTCCTAGAAAAATAAAATAAAACATCTCAGAGAGTAGAATATTCTACAATTGTCTGTGGCTTCCAGCACTAGAACTCAGTGTGCATCAAGCATTTTTACTTGTGTGGCTCATTATAAAACCTGTCTATGCGAAAAGAACAGCTTTTAAATAAAGGTGTTGGGGCAATGAACAACTTAATGGCATTTCAGAAGCAAAAAGGAATGAGTGTTCTTCAGTGAAGACATGTCAGGAAACCAAGCACACTTTCTACCTCCGTTTCAACTTCTTGAAACGTTTGTTTTATGATAAACCAAAATTAATTTCTGGTGTCCAAAATAAATTGTAGGGATGTTTGTTCTTCCTTATAAAAATAGGTAGCCTGGCTCTTTCTATTGCTTGAGTGTAAAAAAAAAAAAAAGAAAGAGAGAAAGTATTCTGCTTTTATCAGTACTGTTAATGCTGCCTTGTTTAATAAGGGTGAGGACTATGTGGTTGGTCAGCAGCTCGCAAATGTGGTACTATTCCAATCGTCCTCCCTTTCTATATGAAACCAACCCTCCGGAGCCTAAGCTCTATAGTCTGAGTCCTACTAAACAGTTTGCCAGATCTTTACTGTTGTTTTGGGATAGGACAAGTGCAGTTTTAGCAAAAGAGAGCCCAAAAGCTGAATGCTGTTTTTCCACCTTTTGTACAAAGCAAGCCATAGGCACTTAAATGGCACCCTCCTTATCAGGTCACAAAGGCAGATGAGAATAATTAGGTTTGGTGAAATGGTGGCTAGGGCACTTGCCCGTCCCCTGACAGCTGTGGACTTTTTTTCTTTTTTTTTGATCTCATATGACACGTGGCCACCTCCAGTCCACCCGAAGGTTCTACGTTGGTCCCTTGGGCTGGAAAGTCCTAGACGACCAAATGGTGCTATTCATGTTGCTCCCTTGTGGACTTCAGGGTATAGAAATGATGGCTTTGCCTTCACCCCACCAGCCAAACCGTTTGCAGAATAGTTTGCCGTGACCTAATTGGCAGCATTTATTATTTGAACAACAAATCATAGGAACTGCTCTTCTCATTCCTAAAAGGATTCTTATGGACAAATCCAACCATAAAATAATGTATAAAATAATGACTAGGTTGATTTTTCTTAACGGCTCTTCCAGCTATAAAAAAAAAGAGTGAATCCCCAATACACTTGGGATTCACCTTTGTGATATTCTGGTCATTACAATGAGGTGTGCACGATCCTGCCTTCACTAGATAATGTGTATTATTTCTAGTATTGGAGTGGCCACCAGTTTGCAGTGAGTAGGCTGACTGACATGTAGGTATAAACCCATTATAAGCTACTGAGGATGTCTCCACTAATGTGTATTGAGAGATGATAAAACTTCTGGCTTGGTAACCATTAAACATGTCAGATCACCCACTTTCTGCAAACAGCCATGAATTTCTCCAGCTATGATGCAGGGGAAGCAACTGCCACGATAACTTTTAATTGGGGCTGTCATGCATACCAATAGTTAGGCTACCGATTGACACTGGCCTGCTTCCTATATTAGTTTTAGACAATGTGTGCATAACCAGGTCTTAAAAGGGCTGGTCTGGCATTTGACAGCAAACAGGGTTGAGAATCTTGGGCATGATTTGTCTGCTGCATAAGTCATGTAAGACGCCTCATTTGCAGTTGTTGGGGGCAAAAGGAAAAATAAGGTGCTTAATTCTTACCCATTCAGAGTTTTCTTCTTCCCAAACAAATCTCTTCCTTAGGCTGAAATCAGTTGGTAATTTGAAGGGCAATTGAACAGGATTAAGCATGTATATAGTACAAGATCCTTGTCCCAGCAAACTGTTTTCACTTTGCAGCAGAAGCAAGGATTTCTTCAACCTTGCTTGCTGACAACTGCACCCAGCTGCACTATCATTGTTAAAATGTTTTTTTTTCTGTGGGAACTGTAACTCCCATGGCTGTGCCCCAGAAAAGAGACGTAGGGCTCAAGCATCCAGGAGTTTCATGAGGGTTACTCTCAGAAGCAGGGAATGTTTATTAGGGTTTTAATCTCAGCATGCTTACTTGAAAGCAGCATTCCTTCAAATGAATGAAACTCGCTTTCATATAAATCTGGTAAGCAACAGGATGTAAAATATGCTTTTTAGGAGTCTTCCAAAAGTAACGTCAGAAACTACCCAAAGTTTATTAACCACTAACAAAATAAAACCGGACAAGTTTGTCAGATGTGGTGTTAAGAGTAAGCAGTGAACTTCACTTGCAGACTTGACAGCGCAGTGAAATAGGTTGCGATCTTTTAGCAAATCGGAATTTGAGCAGAGGCTACAGCAGGTGTTGACCAGAAGGAAAAATCAAGTTCTTGGTGAACTTCTTTGCCAGGCCACTCTGGAAATTCTCAAAAGACTGCTGACGTGAAAGCAGCTCCTCGCCTCCATTCAGAAAGACTTTCCTAGAGAAGCCATGGCTTTAAACAACAGCTATACAACATCTTTTGTGAACAATTTTGATGACTTCTATACAGGTCTCTCCTGTTTGTTGATGGACTTAGCCCAGTATGCACCAGACATACTTTTCAAATGCTGTTTTATTGCAGGTTAACAAATCTGTAACACTGTAAAATTACCAATCTTTACAACTTTAATCCATTTTATTTTTGTACAGTATTCGTATCCTTTCTAAGTTATTTTGCTGTCCTGTTTTGTAAATCATATGAAATTGTAAAAAAAAAAGAAAAGAAAAGAAAAATAAAAAAGTAGGAATAGGTGTTTTTGTACATATGTATATAAAATGTCCAAATACTTAAAAAAAATAAAATGAAACAAAATGGAAAAAAACTGCTTGGGATGATTTGTACCAGAGTTTGATTGGTCAAAATTGGATAGTACAGCAAATAATGAGAGGAAATATCTATTAACAATGGAGTTGAATCACTCTCCCCATTCTGATTCTTCCAGATCAGCAAGACAACTCCTTAATCTTCCAGTCCCTTAAAGCCTTTGGAGTTGAAATTCAATATATAGAGAGGCCATTATGTTGCGCAAAGTTGATTTAGATAAATAAAAGTAAAACAAGCAATTAAAATGGCAGAACTGCAAGATGGATAACTTTTTTAAAAGTTTAAAAAAAATGGTGAAGCAAGAGAGAAACAAAAAAACCAGAGAAGTTTATAGTTAAA